TCTTCTTGGTTGCCTGGGTAAGTTGTAATTAGAGTCTTTGAGCTAGGAAAGGGTGAACCTCTCAACCTCTGAATAAGTGGTGGAGATTAGAGCATATCTATTGTTTCTCCATAATTGGGAGTTGTACTTTGCTTCTTAACATCCTTTTAGTTGGGATGGGATGGACAATGGTCCTTGTACCCTTTGGTACCCCAAGGATACCCTTGTATCCTTTGTACCAATCCCTTGTACCTGTCCTGTACAAGAAATATTTTTCAGCACACAGGCATGTTTTCAGAATGAGAAAAGGAGATGATGCATTTACAATGCGTACTTCAGCATAAATCAATTGAAATAGCTAAAGAGAAAGGAAGGAAATTCCTTTTAGGCTAATAGGAACATGCCCTACCCTTTTGTCAACCACAGGAGGATTGTGAGGACTACTGGAAATAGAAGTAAATTTAACTTTATATAATAAGGAGGTTTGCATGTTGATATCTGTTTATAGTTCAGTATTTTTCAGCCATGGAAGCTTTAAAGACAGCCGCTAGTGTGGAGAGCAATCAGTTTCACAATGTGCTATAAAGATGTTCCAAAATGGCTATTTTCTTTGGTTTATGTTTACATACTTGTATGTTTTAGAGAGGTGTGGTTGAAAGAGGGCTGCACAGTGCAGTGATATCCATCCAACTTTTACAATCTCCATTTCGACCTGGAAAAAATTATCAGGAAAACAGATGAGAACTCTCTGTGTCAGCGCGTTTAACCACCACTTCTTTTCTCATGGGGAAAATTTGTTGATCTTGCTTAGCTAGCTGTCTCATGCAGCACAAATTTGTCACTGACAGTAAACCTCAGATAACTGACATTCATTAGCAATCCACATGACAAACTGCATTCCTTTTTCTTTGTGGTAAGGGGCGATTTCTGGAATCCCCCAGGCTATGCTCTTCTCAAGGATGTGCTATCGGGGCGAGTAATTGGAGGCCATGATGCTCAGCCAAACAGCTGGAAGTGGCAGGTAATGCTAGTTTTAAGTCTTATACTTAGAAAAAAGCAATGAGGAAATGACAGCAAATTTAAAAAGTTAGAATTTTTGATATAGCTGAATTTGTTCTGTGTTCAGTCAATGTGAAGTTACAACTTCATCTAAAATTTGATGTCAGCCCAGGACATGAATAAGAAACTGAAGCCAGCATTCACAAATGAGCAGTATCCTCTCACTCAAGTATCTTTGCCTGAGGTGGTTCAGTGCTGAAAATTTACAAAAACAGGTGACCCGTGCCACCTAACAGTAAATAACAAAGCTCAGCTTTGCTTGGACTTAGATGCAGTTTCCGATGGTATATCTAAACAGGAAGAGTAAACAGGAAGAGTTAGAAATCTGTGTGCAGTCGCAGAGCTTTGATCTCATTGCAGTTATAGAGACATGGTGGGATAGCTTGCATGACTGGAATGTTGTCATGAATGACTACATGCTTTTTAGGAAAGACAGACCAGGAAGGTGAGGTGGTGGAGTTGCCCTTTATGTGAGAGAACACCTGGAATGTATGGAGCTATGCCTCGGGGTGGATTATGGGCAGATCCAGAGTTTGTAGGTAAGGACTGAAAGACAGGCTAACAAGGGTGACACTGTTGTGGATGTTTGCTACAGGCCACCTGCTCAGGAGGAGGAAGGCAATGAGGCCTTCTACAGAGAGCTGGAAGTAGCCTTACAATCACAGGCCCAGGTTCTCATGGGGGACTCCAACCACCCTGACATCTGCTGGAGGAACAACACAGCCAGGCACAAACACTCCAGGAGGTTCTTGGAAAGCAGTGATGATAACTGACACAGGTAGTGGAGGAGCCAACAAGGAGAGGTGCACTGCTGGACCTTGTACTAACAAACAAGGAAGTACTGGCTGGAGATGTGAAGCAGCCTTGCTGCTGGTTGGGGGCAGCCTTGGCTGCAGTGACCATGAGATGGTGGAGTTCAGGATCCTGCCAGGAGGAAGAAGAGCAATAAGTAGGATTGCAACGCTGGACTTCAGGAGAGCTAACTTTGGCCTCTTCAGGGACCTACTTGGAGGAATCCCATGGGATCAGGCCCTAGAAGGAAGAGAGGTCCAAGAAAGCTGGTTAATATTCAAGGATCACTTCCTCTAGGCTCCAGAATGGAGCAATAAGTCGAGCAAAGGGGGCAGGAGAGCCTCATGGATGAACAAAGAAACAGGAAGTATACAGGAGGTGGAAGCAAGGACAGGCCACTTGGGAGAAATATAGGGACATTGTCAGAGTATGCAGAAATGCGACAAGGAAGGCCAAGACCTACTTGGAATTAAATCTGGCAAGGGATGTCAAAGACAAAAGGAGGCATTCTTCAAATACATCATTAACAAAAGGAAAACTAGAGAAAACGTGGGCCCACTACTGAATGGGGCGGGTGCCCTGGTAACAAAGGATATAGAGAAGGCAGAGTTACTGAATTCCTTCTTTGCTTCAGTCTTCACTGCTAAGGCCAGCCCTCAGGAATCCTTGACCCAGGAAACCAAGGAGAAGGTCTGAAGAAAGGATGACTCTCCCTTGGTCGAGGAGGATCAGGTTAGAGATCATTTAGGCAAACTTGACACCCACAAATCCATGGGCCCTGATGGGATGCACCCACGTGTGCTGAGGGAGCTGGTAGACATCATTGCTAGGCCACTCTCCATCGTCTTTGAAAGGTCCTGGAGATCAGGAGAGGGGCCTGAGGACTGGAAGAAAGCCAGTGTCACCCAGTCTTCAAAAAGGGCAAGAAGGAGAACCCAAGGAACTACAGGCCAGTCAGCCTCACCTCAGTCCCCGGAAAGGTGATGGAACAGCTCATCTTGGAGGCTATTTCTAAGTATGTGGAGGACAAGAAGGTGATCAGGAGTAGTCAGCATGGATTCACCACAGGGAAATCATGCTTGACCAACCTGATAGCCTTCTGTGATGGGACAACTGGCTGGATAGATGAGGGGAGAGCAGCAGTGGATGTTGTCTCCCTGGACTTCAGCAAAGCTTTTGACACTGTCTCCCATAATATCTCCTAGGCAAGCTGAGAAAGTGCAGGCTGGATGAGTGGACAGTGAGGTGGATTGAGAACTGGTTGGATGGCAGAGCTCAGAGTGTTGTGATCTGTGACACAAAGTCTAGTTGGAGGCCTGTATCTAGCGATGTCCCCCAGAGGTCAATACTAACCATCAAGTGTGCCGATGAAACAAAACTGGGAGGAGTGCCTGAGACACCAGTGGACTATGTTACCATTCAGAAGGACCTCAACAAGCTGGAGAAGTGGGCAGAGAGGAACCCCCTGAAGTTCAACAAAGGCAAGTGCAGGGTCTTGCACCTAGGGAGGAATAACCCCAGGCACCAGGATAAGCTGGGGGCTGACCTGCTGGAGAGCAGCTCTGCGGAGAAGGACGTGGGAGTGCTGGTGGACAACAAGTTGACCATGAGCCAGAAGTGTATCCTTGTGGCCAAGAAGGCCAATGGTATCCTGGGGTGCATTAGGAAGAACACTGCCAGCAGGTCGAGGGAGGTGATCGTGCCCCTCTCCTCAGCCCTGGTGAGGCCTCACCTGGAGTACCGTGTCCAGGTCTGGACTCCGCAACACAAGAGAGGCATGGAGCTGCTGGATCGAGTCCAGTGAAGGGTTGCTAAGATGCTGAGGGGACTGGAGCATCTCTCACGTGAGGAAAGGCTGAGGGAGCTGGGCCTGTTCAGCCTGGAGCAGAGAAGACTGAGGAGGGATCTGATCAATGAGTGTAAATATCTGAAGGGAGGGTGTCAAGAGAATGGGGCCAGACTCTTCTCCGTGGTGCCCAGTGACAGGACAAGAGGCAACAGGCACAAACTGAAGCACAGGAAATTCCGTCTGAACATGAGGAAAAACTTCTTTGCTGTGAGGGTGACTGAGCACTGGAAGAGGTTGCCGAGAGAGGTTGTAGAGTGGAGTCTCCTTCCCTGAAGATATTCAGAAGCCGTCTGGACACATTCCCGGATAATGTACTCTGAAAGACCCTGCTTGAGCAGTGGGGTTGGACTAGATGATCTCCAGAGGGCTCTTCCAACGTCAACCATGCTGAGTTTCTGAGATTTTTGTATGTTAATGAATGATTGTTACGAATGCAACAGTTACATTTAAAATGGTGCTAACTCCAGAAATATGCTTTTGCTACTTTTTTATTTCTTTGTTCCTCTTTTCTCTTTTTTTTTTCCTTTAGGGGGAGGGCTGAGGGGCTGTAGGGTAAGGGAAAGGATGTGTGGTTTTGATTCTACTAGCTCTATTAACAATCTGGTGCCATGGAATCATGAGCAGATTTTATTCTGTATTTCTGTCCTGTTAGCAGAACAGGTGACTGAGTTTCAGCACTACTTGTTCCTCTTGTACTTTGTCTGTACTTGGAAAGGTGTGTTTTTACCTCCCAGCTCCAAGTGCAGGTGAAAATCTTACTCCATTAAAGGTAAACTGTAGTTTTACATGTGCTGGCTGGAGGAGGAAAAGCTCTCGCTTCTGCAATTTACCTTCTCAAGCCAGTGCGTGTTAAAACCTCAGCTTGCTCTGAGAACTTAGTACAGACATGTATTAACTAACGTGAGTTAAGAGTTAGGTTCTTTTTTGTAACCAGATGTGTCCACTGGGATTTGTAAATCAGAAGAATGCCTGCCTCATTTTCTGATTCTGACTTGAATTAATCCCAGAGTTCATGAAGAAATAATTACTAACCAAGCAATTTAACATACAAGCTAACAGGAAGCAAAGAGAGAGAAAACTCCTAATGACAATTTTATAAAGTAATTTTCAAAGCAGATCTGTGCTTTAATAACCTTCCTTTCCACTTGAACGGTGAGCAGGTTTACTTGCAGTAAAAGGATGTGACATGCCTGGCCTTGACTACACAAAAATGTTCCACTGTTTCGAAATCCGTTGTTAAGCCAATTCATAACCCTTTCTGGGCATACTTAAACTACAGGTATCTTAATACCGCAAAGAGCAAACCTATCTACTATAGAAGATGACGACCACTGCTGAAAAAAGATCTTCTGAGGTAATGTGGATAAACCTTTACAAAAGAAAATATGGATATCCACTGCTTATGCATAAAAAGATGCATCTTTTTATTTAAAATATGTACAGAGATGGCTAACTTTTTTCACACTCAGGTGCCACCACTAATCTTCAGTGGTACCGTGAAAGTGCAGGGAAAGTTGTAATGTCCCATGCACTTGAATTGAAAAAAAAATTTTATTTCTTCATTTATGCAAGTCCTTGAAGACTACCATATTCCTTGCCACCTCGATTTGGAGAAGGCCAGTAGATGACTGGACAGAGAATATTGTGTACCGTTGTTTCAAGCTACATTGTCCCTTTTTCAGTCTTCTTATAAGGGAGCTATTTAATACCTCCGTCCTGTAAGGCGCTTGCACTAACACATTCCGCTGACCAAAGTAACACACACAATTTCTGCAGAAGCATGGCTTAGGTGTAGTATATTTTGTCATTTGATACAGATTTCACTTCAGATTGCCTGTGAAGATCACCCTGGATATTATAGCCACATCTGTGGTGGAACCCTTATCACCAATAACTGGGTCATGACTGCAGCCCATTGCCTCAGCATGTGAGTAGAATAAGAAGTTGAAATTCTTATTCTGTTCCTCATTCTCTCTGCAGATGGGTGCTAAACCATTCTCACCCTCAGAGCTCTCCAGCTGTGCCCATTTCTTGCACAGCTGGACATCTGCCAACTCACTGTGCACTTAATCTAGAGAACTGGAAAGCTCTGATAACTTCAACCATGATTTTATGTTTAATTGTTGATTTTTCTGGAAGTGAAAATCAAACTGATTGATTGATGATCTTAGGCTGCGTTCTACAGTTTGCTCTGCAGCACGTCTAACATGCACCACATGAACGATACATGCAACACCAATAAGCAAACACTCATCTTTAATTACATACGCCTTTAGTGAATGTACTTACAATGAAGTGTAAGAAGCTCCTCCTTCACACTTTTAGACATATGCAGAGATGCAAGATGGACATCCTTGTTTAAAAATGATCTGAGCAGTGTGGTTAGCTGATATTGCACCTTCAGTTTCTTCACCAGCAAACTGCAATCAGTAGTTTCCTAATTCGTAAGATCATTTAGTTGAAGCTCATTGAAAATCCTCTGGTGGAAGATGCTTTAGAAATGATTATATTGGTGGAAGATCTCAGTGGTGCAGGAATTATAGAGTAAAGCTACAAGTGGGGACTGGTCTTTACCTTAATTATCCTGTGGTTCATTTTCAGGCAGTTAGGAGCAAAATACCGAGCGGCTCTGGGTGAACACAATCTCTTGGAGGTGGATGGCACTGAGTATTATATTGATGTGGAGAGGGTCTTCATTCACAATGACTGGAATCCCTGGGATGTTGGAAATGGGTAATTTGTTTTGATTATTACCATAGAGCTGAATGGTACTTAGCACCCAGACCTGCTGTTATATGTATATTCAGTCCAGTTCTCAATGAGGTCAGGAATGGATTTGTGGGAAGCGGTGGAAGATGATGCAGCAGAGATTTCCTAAATAACCTCCTCCCTTAGAGGTGTTACACAGTGTCTACTTGGATAACCTCATTGCTGTTTTGTCTAACTTTGGGGCACTTGGCCTTTCCCAGAACAGATATCGGGAAAGGCCTCATAGCGGGATCCAGAACATCATTCGGCAAATTCAGGGGCCAGAAGCCACACCAGTCAGTTTGCATCTAATGAGGGGAAACCAACAGGGAAATGCTAAGGGACTGTTTTAAATCCCGTCTTAGAGGCATGTATCCACGATTCCCTGAAATTCACTCTGAGGTTGGATGCCTCTAAAAGAGTAGGAGCTTCCACTAAAACCCTCCCACGTCTTCCCCAGGGTGCAGTAATTGGTAAAAAAAGGCATGGGTGCAACCATTGTCTGCAGGCTTTAAGAGAAAGTGACAAGCTACAGCTGCATTTCAGGAGGAGCACTGTGGCTCTGAAGTGTTTTAGGCATGTTTTAAGAAACCTACCCTCTTACAGGCTTCAGTGGAGGAATGTTTAGTCTCCAGATCTGATCAGACTGAGATGAGATCTACGTGCTGAATTGCTTAGGCCTTGCAAAAACCGTGGACATTTCTGCACATGTCCAAACGTAGGTCTCTTCCAAGTCCTGCAAAATATTAAAGTCAAAAGCGGAGTGGAGTTCAAGTGTCTCTAGAGTTGGACAGCAACTCAGCCAGTCCTTTCAGGGGATTTAGCCCTTTATCTGTCCGTATCTTGGCCTTGCTGTCAATTGCTCATATTTTCCTATATCCTGGGATAGCTGCAAGTATTAACTCATCATGTTTCCCAGGTACTTGGCTCTCACCATGCTTAGAGGCTAAATACCTGTCTAAGTGAGGAAGTGGGAGTGAGGACGTCACATTTGGTTTATGCTCTCACCATGCTTAGAGGCTAAATACCTGTCTAAGTGAGGAAGTGGCATTGAGGACGTCACATTTGGTTTATGCTTAATCCAGGATTTTCAGTAAACACTCTTCTACCTGTATCCTATTTCAGCAATGACATTGCCTTGCTGAGCCTTTCTTCTCCTGCCTATGACAATGGGTTTGTTGAAATAGGATTGCTTCCACCTGAAGGAGACATTTTGCCTAGTAACTATCCCTGTTATATTACTGGATGGGGGCTGAATAGTGGTAAGTATGTGTGGGTTGAGGAGAAGCAGTGTTCCTTATTCTAGAAAGATGGACCAAGATCCCAGACAAAATACAACCTTTTGCATGTGAGGGCTGTTGATATGAGCAAATATTTTATGAAATGCAAAGACTGACTTCTGGAAATCTGGCCACAATTTATCTTGGCACCTCTGCCAGGGAAACATCTTCCTGTTAAGATTTCTTTGTACACATGAGAATGGCCTCTGTCCTGGTGTGGTCACAGTAAACAACGCTTTACCCAGCCAATGGCCATCCTGATTTCAGCATTTTTTTTTGTAAGGTATTTAAAAAAAAATAAAATATCATCCTTTCTCTGCTAGTTGATGGCAATGCCCCTGCCAGACTTCAAGAAGTGATGCTGCCGGTAGTCGACCATGCAATCTGTTCCCAGGCAGACTGGTGGGGAACTGAGGCAAAAGTTACTATGATCTGTGCAGGCGGGGATGGCGTGGCAGCTGGATGCAGTGTAAGATCCATTATTATCAGAGAATTTTTAAGCCTTTCTCTCTCCTTCTTTCCTATTTGACCGTGCTATGCCTTCAGTTGGGAACTGGTTTTGTCATTTGCTCATCCTGCAGTAGCTTTCAGGTGCAGATCCTGGCCCTTTCACTGCTTTTATCTAAATATAATCTTCTAAATCAGACTGCTCCAAATTTCTTCATTCCCCCCCAGTAGAGAGGAACTCTCCAAGTTCTCAGGATGTATCTCACCCCACTGATTTTGGGAGGAAGATTTGCCCTTTCTTCCAGGACCATGTTCCATTGATCCTGGGGTCCTGGGGACCTTACGGTTGAGACTTTGGCGCTCTCTTCTGCCCTTATTCAAAGGATGAGGCTGTAGGACCCCCTGCCACTCTTTCAGTGTTGCTGCCATCTTCCACCACCTAGGCAAAGCATCCAGCAGAAGGAGGCATGCACCCCTGCACTTTAGCCTTGCTCTTCAGCTTTCTGCTCCTCACCAGCTGCTCTTTCTATGTAGTTAACTGAGCAGCCATGCAGAGCCCTTAAAAGTAAGCAACAATATACAACACATTTCTTGTATAAGTATATGAATATAATATATAAACATATAGAAATAATATATATTATATAATGGTACGTTGTATAAATCTATAGTTATAAATACATAAATGTTTACTGTATTTTTCAGTGTGAGTTAATTATGACAGAACCTAGTCGCTAACTGGATTCTAAGCCACAGCAAGAGTCTTTATCTTCACATACACTTTAACTCGTGTTGCTCTCTTTCCATTGGCTCTACTTCCAGAGACCTTTAGAATATACTTGTTGCTAAGTACAAGGGGATCAGCGTTTCCCTCCCATCTGGCTCCTTGTAGCTGGAGAGTGCAATGCATTTTCATGAGAGATGCTGTGCAGGTAGACCTTCATGGGAAGAACTGTCATGTGATGCAATGTGCTCTGAAGTAGTTGCTTAAAGTCACTATATTTCTAGTGGTGATAGTGGTGGGAAAATCATGATTACAGCCCCTTCTGGGGTGGGTATGTGTATATATGTGAGCATATGTGCGTGCGTGTGCATGTAGACTGAGATACTAAATAGTGGAGCTGCTCTGTACAATATTTTGGGAAGTGCTGTGTAGTCTCTGCTCCCATGTTGCCGGGGAACAGTCAGCCCTTTGCAAAGTACACAGCACAAATTTAGGCTCATGCTCTGAACAGCTAATCAGTGCTCCCTAATCTATCCAATCATTCCTAAACTGCTTAGATATTTTAGCTTGATATGTTACTCTCCTTCCTCTGATCCAGAGAGATTCTGGAGGCCCTCTGAGCTGTTACAAAGATGATCGCTGGCAAGTCCATGGGATTGTCAGTTTTGGGATCGCTCCTTACTGTAACACCTATAGGAAGCCTACAGTCTTCACACGTGTGTCGGCTTATACAGACTGTATCTACAGTGTAAGTTCCTTAGGCACTAGTGTATTGGAGGTAACCTGGTTATTTGCCATGAGAGTAAGGGGTGCCCTTAATTGGATCCATTTGCTTATGAAGGCATCAGGAACTGAACTAGGAGGTCTGGGAAGGCCTAAAATCAGGATATTTGATGTTACTTTTGGTGCGTTCAAGCAATTGTAAGGAGCTTTTGCCTTAGAACTGAAATGCTGTGCTGGGGACCACATACAAAATTCAAGAAGACAGAAGTTGGGCTCTGTGTCCAAAAAAATGATCATTTTCATTCACCCAGACAAAACATACTGCAGGAGAACACTGAAGGAATTATCTGTCCTGTGTATGATGCAGCCTGAATGGGAGATGTGCCAAATATAAAATATATCTATAAATGCAAGTCCTGCAGCGCTGCACTATGCAATCTCGGCCTCACATTTTGGAATGACCAAAGAGGCCTTTGCTGTCAGAAGCAGAGTCTGGCACAAGCAGCATCTGATTCCCAGGCACAGCGTAGTGCTTTTGTTTAACTGCTGCTTAAGACATGCTGCCTACTAAGCATCCATGGAAAGAAATGCAAGGAGAGGTGTTCTAAATCACAGCAAGGAAGAGAGAGAGAACTATCTAATCCGTGAGATGGCTGCCCTGACAGTGTGTTCTTCACCTCCTGCAAACGGGCACAGTGGGAATGACTTTTAAAGCATTAAAAGCAGCCTTTGCTCTTGAGTGTCCAACAGAAACAATTGGAAGGAAATACATTTCAACAGAACAATTCAAAGTTATTTACTCATCAGGAGGAAAATTTCAAAGTGGTCCCTGGTCTGCCTTTGAGTAACTGGAATAATACCCTGTGGTTTTCAGGCTGCAAACTGGGAAATGCAAGTTGAAGTCGTACTGTCATTCCGGCTTGTTTGTGGGGTGTCCTTCTGTCCAGCAGCAGCTGCTGGATCAAGCCTGTTGAGAATCCCTGATGAGGGAGAGCCGCTTGCTGATCTAAAGCTGCTGGAGCCAGCTGCATGCCACTGGCATCTGGCTTCCCCTGACCTGCAGGGCAAGTATGTGTAAAGTGCTGTGGTCCATGAATGTTTGCGGGTGGAAATAGTAAGTAGAGCAGTAGCCTGGCCCAGGTGAGAACAGGCCCTTCTTCAGAGGACTAAGGCAGGATGGAGACGTGTTATTCTGGTTCTGTACTGAATTCACTTCTTGTTTTCTAGATTATGGAAAATAACGGCAGTTACTAGAGAAGGATGGACTTGTGCATAAGCACAAGAAGAAGAGTTAGAACACAGTGTATCTGTCAATTAAGTCTCCTCTCATCCTCTTTACATCTTTTTGGGTTATTAATAGCAAGGTTTGGCTAAAATTATAATAAAGTATCGATGACATCACCCAGGGACTTCAACCCCATTACAGTGTGTTTTAAAAGAGATTAACACAAAATACCAGCAGCACAGAGCGTTTCCCATTGCTGAGGTGGAGTCAAGTACAGGATGTTTCTGCCTGGCCTGAGATCGGGAGATTCTTTGAACACCAGTTCAGATCCAGTCAACAGCAAAGGAGAATCCAGTGTTATCTTTGTGCGTTGAATTGAATTCAGTCTTAGCCCATTTCTCAGCAAATGTGGTCCCCGTGAGCCTTCTGCTTGCAGAGGGATTAAGGACTGGGTGAGCTGAGGAAGCCATGTCTATGCTGAGCAGGACATCCAGCACCTAACATTCCAGCCACAGCAGGAAAACATATTTTAGTATCTTTTGTACATACATAGGAAATGTTGCAGCATTGTACCAACAATGCAACAAAGCTCAATGAGACCTTATAGCAGAGGAAAGCGATTTTGTCCTAAAACTAAATTCACTCACACCCTCATTACCGGAAACTGAGAAGTACTGAGATGCATGTGTCCACGTAATCTGCCCAACCATCACGTACCAAAACGCAGGTCTGTCTGCCCATGAGTCTTCACAGTGACACGAAGGACAAGGGATGCCAAGTACTGAGTCCTCCATGCATCTCTGGGCTCTTTCTTATGTTAGTAGCTATGTATGGCTTTGTATGTGCCTTTGTACGCCTTAGGTACATTGCAGGTCTTACACACCGGCGCTGGAGGTCACCTTTCCGCGGAGAGGCCGATGAACATGTCCTTTTCCTGGGGCTGGGCTGCAGAGTCCCCACACACCTGAGCGGACAGTGAACACAGCTCTTCAGGGCTGTCATTCTGGCACCATCTACAAACGCATTGCATAAAATGAGCATGACAGGTTTTCTCCCTGAGAGGTTCCTTAGTGATAACCCTGTAAGCGGTAAAGAAGGTTGGCTGTATGTTTGCAGGTAGACAGGAGGAAACAAGTGGTGACACTAACATCAGTCTGCACAGCGGCCAGCAGATGTTTTGCTTCCACAACTTGATTTTCTTTTTATTCCTAATCAAAAGCTGTGTTGTGCAGTGCTGCACATACAGGGCATAATTCCTATCTGCGTGGCCAAAAGGCCAGGTGTAGACATACAAAGGACTGCTCTTGCCTCAGCTATATTGGTTAATTGAAGCAGCTGAAAGCACAATCTTTTTACATTATTCTTAAATTCACTCTGCACAGGATTTTTTTAAATTCATTTTCTAAGACTAAATGCATAAAACATGGCATTTCTGGAGGGTGCTTTTCTTTTTGCACTTGCACAATAATGTAATATTCATCTATTGGTGAACTACAATACCATCTTCCAGGAGTACACAGGGAATCCCACAGCCTTCCGTCTACCCCTTCTGCTGTGTAGGAGGATAAATATGTAAGACTGGAGGGTTTTAATTTAGCTCTTTTTCATTTCAATCCATTCATGTCTCTGTGCTCCCACCTGTCTTAGAGCAGCTGCAGGCACACACCAACGACATGACAAGATTTTTACTAAACCCTCTCTGTGCCCGGGAGCACACAGGTCTGCTTGTCAAAAGCCACTAGAGGGCATTGGTAAACCAGGGAAATACCCACTGTGGCTGTCGCCAGCTCTTAAAGAAGTTTTGTGGGCTGGAAATGATAAAATGGCAGGTATACAGCCTTGCACTCTGTACTTTATGTTTGCCTTCAGACAGACTGATAAGCAAATGGGAGCTGCTTTTAGACACCATTATCAAGGGGTCTGATTTGCAAACAGATAAATCCTGCTTGTTACAGCAAGCACAAACGAAAACGAAACCAGCAGAGCTTTCTACAAGGCTTGTAAGAGGCCTGAAGTACCAGCTTTATTTTTAGCTCTTTACTTTATTGGACTGCACTTGACAATGTGACATTTATACCCAGTAATTTAGCAACTTCTCCTCTTCTGGCAAAGAAGAAAGAATACATCTCAACTTTCCTGACTTTTTGTATTACTGAATAGTTCTTACTCCTTTTAAGACAGTATGTATGATTCTGCTGCAGTATCATGTTCAAATATTTAACTTCTCCCAGAAGAGTCTAGATTTGTTCAAAACACTTGGTGATGGAGTAACATCTCTTAAAAGCCCACTTAGGAGGCAAGTGACATAAGCACACTGACATCTGAGATCCTTGCACTGATGATATTTAAATATTTTCCTTTAAATTTTAAAAGAAATTTAAAAGACAGAGATCAAAGGCTTTTGGGAATGAGATCAATTCCAAAATTTACTCAGATGCTGAAAAATGAAGTATTACAGTGCCTGGTTTTTGAGGTGCCTGATGCCTGGAGTGAGGACTAACTCTGCATGCTCTGTGAGTGGGCCATGGGGAGATTTGGGGATCTCACGTGGGGTCCCGAACTCTCATCAGCCTCACTTGGGAAATCACAGGAAACACTGAGGACAGGGCTCTGCCTCAAACAGGCCATGCTCATAGTGCTGTAGAGAAGGGCTTACCTGCAGCATGGAGCTCAGGTGTCACCAATCTCAGATGGCCTTAGGAGGGGTATTCTGGACTGAAGTTTTGGAGCTATATTATGTGCGTACTGTGATAAATTGATGAAGCAAGGATCATTCTTGGGCACCATGGCCAGCTTGCACTGAGCGGTCTGCATTCACACATTCAAACTTGCTCAGCTTGCAAAACAGACTGGCTTCATGCAGACTGCCTGCTGGAAAGGTCCCTGGCCTGGGCCAAGCAGACTCGGGAACTGCCTTGGAGCGTAGTGTTGGCTGGGACAAAAACATTTCAGGCACCGCGTTAGCAATTTAACCCTACAGATGACCAACTTCCAGTGCTCAGGAACATTACCTGGCAGCTCTTAAATGACTATAAAAGACATAGCCTGAAATATCGCAGCTGTCCCATGGTTCCAGCCTGCCTGCCTGCCCCCGACATGACTGCTGTGAATGGTTCTCCCTGCATTTGAAGCTGAACCAGGCACTGAGAAGTTGAGGCCAATCCACCCAAATCAGCAGATTGCTGATTTGCCCACACCACTGCTGTTTAGGTCCTGGCCAAAACTGCAGAAAAAAGCCCAGCACAGTAACTATCTTTCTTTGTCCCTTTTGACGAGAAAAGACCTCTTACAACCCCAGGATTTCCAGTGAGGGAAGCCTTTATTACAAATGCATTTTGGACCCTCCATCAGTAGGAGGGCAGAAAGAGTGACAATAGCATCCTGTGTTATGCAGGCCAGACAGTAAGAAAGCAAGTAGCCTTTGTCCGACTTGTGTGAGGGTCAGGACTCCCTTTGGTATCCTGTCATGATGAGTGGGACTGCAGCTTGCCCGTGCTGAGATCATCCAAAGCTAGACAGATGGGTGCTCCCCAGGCTTGTCTAGGTCACCTGGAGAGACACCTACATGAGAAACAAATGAACATGGAGAAGGTCAGAACTGGGGGTCTGACCAGTGCACCCTGAACACTTTTCTTTTTTTCCGAGAATGATTTTCTATGAGAGTGCCACGAGCATGAAGGAACGATTCCCCATGCCAAACCTCCTGCGGCTGCACAACGGCCACTGTTCTCCAAGCGGTAACCCTGGCCAGTGGGTGCTTGAAACCTATTATCACAAGCTGCTCTGCAAGCTGGGCTAGAAGTTGTTCCTATAAGCCCTGCCTGCACGTGAGCGAGACCTGAACCTGTCTCTGGAACAGCCAGAAGGAGAAATGTCACACTGTACCATCAGTAGCAGAGAATCAGGTGTTAGGAGACATAAAGCTCTAATTCAGGGTCATTATCATGTCACCAGTACAAAGAGGCGCTTTTCTTTCCGGGTTTCTATGACAGGAACAGCTTGTGCTGCTCAGCCGTGATTTATTGCATAGAATAAGAGGGACGCTTTGATAATGTGATAGCCTGGCAGCACGCATACAAAGTGCATGTTCTTCCTAAATGCTCGATTTACCTCTCAGTATCCAAGAGTCTTATTACTCAGCATTGACAGGCAAAGCTGAAATCCCATGAGCACACCTCAGGAAGCCTATGGAAAATGCCAGTCAAGTTCCCCTCCAGTTTTACTGTGTGAAGGTGTCACAGTAATATCATATCCAATAGTATTGGGACAACACTGCTGGGCACAGTAATGTAAGGTTCACATACGGTGCTGTCACCCTTTTCTCCAAAGCTAGATGGTGGGGATGGAGCTAAAATAGGGATCCAACTAGATTTTGGAAAGTCTATGCTCCCTGTTTCCTTACATGGAGCAGAGAAAGGAGACAACCATGGCTGCAGAAGATCATCTCCTGGGACTGGTCCCACCAGGTGTAGGGTGTTCCTTTGAGGTGCAGAACTGGCTAGGCACCCATTGAGCTATTTGGGGGAGGTAATACTGTAGATGCTGTGAAATAGCTCTGGAGATGCAGGGATCAAACATAGGTGTCTAGTGCCACTCGGGACACTTGAGGACATCCCACCCCATCCCACTGCTTCTTCAAAGGGGTGCAAGTCTCCTGAGGTCCCATGTCATCTCTGCCAGGCCCATGGGGATGTTTCAGATACCCTCGAGCATCTGAACCAGCTCAAAATGCAACAGAATCCTTCTCCCTCCTCTGGTGGTCTGGGGAGCTTTTAGGTCACGCAGAGATACACTTGAACAAGAGCCCTCAATCATGCTACAACTGCATAGAAATGTTTTGGTTATGAACATCTTCCCATCCAAATCCTGCTCTGAAGCTGTTATCCTTTATCAGATGTAGCCCCCAAATCTCTAGTCAAATTTGTATCACTCCTTCACCAAACTGTTCCCTTGCTCACTTACTTGCAGGTAAAAATGATGGGTATTTGGAAGTATGAATACAACGGGCTCCATTGTTTCCTGATAGCTATTGAGTCTTAATTACCAGAAAGCACTTTGGGATGCTTTGAATATGAAAAGCACTTAAGGATCATTAAGTTCTTGTCTCTATTTACTACAAAGTAGTATCCAAGTATTTATTTCCATGGAAGTGTAATAGGTAATAGTTTGCAGTGCAGCACATCTTGGTGCAGCAGGTTTATGTTTGAGGGAGGCCTTCCTACTTTATTCATCATCACGGCAGGTTTCTCTTGTAACATTTTAGCTCCTGATATGCGGCCAGATAAGTCCCTGGGGAATCCGGTCCCCAGGCCAGCTGGGGGACCAGAGCTGGCTGCAGTGCAGATGAGTCAGATCCTCACCGTCTGGGTAGTTTTGAAAGTCTCTGTGGCCTCCACACTCACGCTGAAACGTTTCAGCTCTGTTGGTCCCAGGTTTTCCCCTTCAACTCTGACATGGCAGGTTTCGTGTGCTCCTGATGTGATATGGAGACATGCAGGCTGCTTCCAGGCTGATGCTGAACCTGCTGGGTCCTTGCTGGCAGCCGTGTTACCAGCCGGATGCCTGCAGAGCTGCTAACCTGTCGCAGCGGCTTTTGTTGGTTTATCAAGGCTGTGCCTGTAGAGCAATTTTTGGACTGACTTAAAGGTGGCTGCTGGAGGCATCCCACCTCAGAGTGTTTCAGAGTACCTAAAATTAGGCACCTGCATTCCAACTATAGTCAGCGGAGCGGGGAAGAGGCCTGCAGTGAGCCATTCGGAGCGCCCGAGGTGAGGTGAACAACCCGCAGAGCAAGCAAGCCTTGGAGATAACTTAGTCCCCTAAGCACTGTTGAAACACAGGGAGTCAGGGCATGTCCCACCACAAGTGTTTTGGTACCTTGCCCAGCTTCTCTGGGCAAAATGTGGGTGCCTCCATGATTAGCAGAGCAGGGTTTTGAGCATTTACCTTGTGGGTGTAGGTTCTTCCCAGGTGTGGGCCCATATACCAGGCCAGGCACGCAAGTGTGGCTCCAGTGCCAAGCCGAGGGATGTCATGGTACCTCATCCAGGTCTGAGCAGGGTCACCGGCAGCCAGTTCAGGTGTTTCACCTCCATTTAAGCCATACTGTAGACTTTTAAATACAGTAACTCAGTAAAGAAACAGGGTTTCTTTGGTCCTGTGGAGGAGGACAACTGTTGCCCAAGAGCAATTTGGATGACAGAGAAAATGGGACAAGGAAGCAGCTGAACCTTGGAACTGCTGCCCGGTAGGTGGCAATGCTGCTATTCACTTAGCAGGAGTTTTAGAGGTACAAAATAATCTGATGAAAAGGTATGTGCTAATCTATAGTAAAAACTCCCCATAGTCACAGCTGTGAAGGACAAAGTTTAGTTCTCTTTATTAGTGGCTTATCTGAATTCTCACTTTAGCCAGTGCTCTGACAGAACGAGAAATGTCACAATTTTCTGGAGAGAAAGCAATGAAGCCAGAATACTTACATTTGTTCACTAAATCTACATTTAGCAACACCCATTTCCCAAAATGCTGAAGACTCATAGCTTCTCCAGCGACAGAGAACTATGCAGGGCCCTACACATGCTAAGGAAATTAAACTATTCTTAATTAGATTCCTAATTTTGCTTGATTTAGGCAGCGAGGGTGTTTATAGGGGTTTATCCCCTCATTGCTGAACTTGCTGGTGTGGTCACGATTTCTGTGACACTGGAATACTGAACATCAGTAACCAAAAGGAGAAGAACTAACAGCTGAATGTTTTCTTTCTTTTTTTTCTTCCCATCCCATAGTGTTGAGAGAGTAAAACTATAAAGTTCCACAAGAAGGTGTCAATAATTGCAAATTCTGCAGTGCACTTTTTATCGGACATTCAGGCAGATCACTGGGTCTGAGTTAAATCTCTGCCCCTGCAAACTTTTCTGCACAAGTTCTGCTCAATGGAAAACGTGTGCCTGGAAGAAGGGGTGCAGCAGGCTACAGAGAGAGGGCTGGTGCCTCTTACAGTGACAGAGGTTTTGAAGCTGGTGGAGCTGTAACATCCTAGTGGAGATACCAAAAAAGATGCTTTCTATTGCCTGCATAGCAGGTCTGGCGACTCCTTGCATCCACCCAGCGTCACGTTGCTCAGCCATGTGCTGTAAATCTCCCTCTTCCTTTTATCAGCGAGAAAAGCACCTTGGTACTTTTTTAAACCTGCCTTCCTTCACAGTAAACATAAGTCTGCCGCGTGCTGGGAGCTGGCCCTTCAGGTCACGCACTGCACACACCTTCCTCTGCTCAGGCTTGTTCCCTGGGTGTTTGCAAGGGCAGAAATTCCCCAGCTGGCTGCACAACCGGCTGGCAGAGCCCTCTCGCTGCTGCCAGCGCCGGGTAAACCCCCCTGCCCTCGCCCAGAGACCTTGCTCTGCAGCTGCCTGGGTTACTTTTTCCCTGCCGAAGGTAAAGTCCGCCGTACGCAGTATTTTATAGCTGTTCCCGCAGAGAAAAGTCCTAACGTGTCTCATTCCCTGCGTGGTTCCAGGGCTGTATGAGCACAATTGCATTTTCCTACCAGCTAAAATATGCCTTGGCTCTGCTACAAAAGAAATTGCTGGCGCTGGATTAGGGGCTGGCTGGGCTCCTCCAGCCAGTGAAGAGAGACCTAGGGATGGGGACATATGAGAAACATCCATTGCCGGCCAACCTAGGTCTCAGCCATGTCCTGTACTTCGAACCAGCACCACCCCCGTGAGCTGTGGGAGATGTGGTGGGTCACAGCTGCTGGTGCTTCATCCACAGCAGCTCCTGTTCCCAGGCCAAGCTGAGTGATGCAAATGCCCCATGTGCCAAGCTTTGCGTTGCGACCCGTGTCTGCTTGTTGTCGGTCATAAAATGACTCACCCGTTTTCTGAACGCTGCTCTGCGACCCAGAAGAGAAACGCTTTCTAGTCTGTTGGCTAAATGCATGGTTCAGCTCTTGTTTTAGACACTGGCACAATCAGAATATGAATCAAAACAGGGAGATGAGTAATTCCGTGCCTCTGAATGCTGACAGCAAGGCCTACACGATGGCCGTATGAAGAAAAAGAAGAGCAAGAGGGTGATGAAAGCCCTGGGCAAGGAAGAGCGAGGCAGGGAGCATACCACCGAGAACGGAGCAGAAGGTGGAAGGAGCAACGGCCACCAGCAAAGCAAACCATCTACTCTGCAAGTGACAGGTCGAATTGCATCCGTTTCACACCCCACCACCGATCCCAGGCAGCGGGAAGGAGCACCACCTCCTGCTGTTGAATGACGCATAAATTGCCACCGGGTTTGCCAAAAATCAGCTGGCCTCAGCCCTCCTTTGGCAAGGAGCAAACCAAATCAGGAAGAGGTGCACCTGATTTCCAGGGTGGCTGCTCTCTGCTCAGCCCGGGCTGCCTTACGTCAGGATCTGGCCCAACGAATACGTAAGGTGAGATCCAGCAGTAACGGCTTGGCAGAGTCGGCAGCAGCTCCTAATCGACAGCGAGAGACAAGCACTGGCCGGCTGCTTCGGCTGGGATGAAAAAGCAGGAGGACTGCAACGAAACCGGTGTCGCCTTTGCGGGGCAGCGAAAATAAAAACGAGAACTAGAAGCAAATAGCTCTGCGGCCTGCTAAAATCCTGCCCCGCGGAGGCAAAGCGTCTGTCGCTTTACAGTTACAGCCTTGCAGAGGCACCACGCTGAAGCACCGAGGGAAACTCCTCCAGGGTTTCTCTTGCATGCTATTCAAATCAAACATAAACTCCTCTTGGCACAAAGAGGCTGTTACCAAGTCTGCTTTGCTCCCCGGCTGCCA